CAATACACTCAGACACTCCCACACAAAATCCTCCCCTCTGCCTGTGATACAATTACCTTACACAATGGGTAATCTAATTATCACAGACAGAGATATACAGTTTTCATAAAACACATCGCAGGGACCCCAAAACATGCAATAACCCCATAAAAATATCATTGGAACCAAGGGATCTGGGTGAACCACATATCCAAAATTCACCCAGATCCGTTCAGTACTTTGGAAGATACAGTTTAATGCAGATTTTACAGAACATATGCAGGCTATATGAAAAACAATTACCGTATAAGGGGTCTCCTGTTGTGTAGTCCAAAACCACTGCACAATGTCTCTGCGCACCAAATACCGGCGAGATGGCACCGTGTTGAAAAGTCCAAACAGTGTCTGTGAGTTAAAATGGCCGCCATCCATTGTTCTCACCATGTGCTTCATCCATTGTTCTCATCATGTGCCTCTGATACAGGAAATGGTGGCCACCCAGTAACTCCACAGTATGTCCCCAGATGGTTCTTAAAGGGCCAGCAGCAGCACAACACAAATCCATTATGCCCAAATCATGTCTTTAAAGGGCAATACATCCCAGGGGCCATAGTCACATGGCAGGAGGCTGGCAATCAGTCTTCTCCAATGCCCAGTGGCGAGGTCGGTTAAGCCACAAATACAGATTAGGGAACAGTGCACAAAATAAATCCAGTTTTAAAGCTACTTAAAATCACCACTACTAGCAAAAAAATAAATAAATTGGGATTCAGTTACACCATATGGCGATATCCATCACTATGTTACATTTCCCCAATATCCCCATTCCCCCACCATTTGGCTACTGTGACATTCACTTTGATTCCCAAAAATTCACACTTTTAGAAATGAACCTAATAAAACATAGTTCAAATTGTACATTTCATTAAAGAGACATTTTTTATGAACCATTACCACTACATAGCATAGTGGTCTGACATGACATCACCCCCCATGTAAGTAGTCAAACCGTATTAGAGCAGTTTGACTTCTTACCTTACATGGCCCTACCTTCACTACATCAGCCAAAAGCCAGAAGATCTCTGCATTACGCAAGAGTGGGCACGGTTGATGAAGTGGAGGTGGAGAGCAGCTTAAAGGAACACTATATCGTCAGGAACACTATACACCTGTATCCTGTTACATTAGAGCATCCCCCCCCAACCTCTGTGTGTGGTCATAAAGCGATATTACGTTTTTCCCCCACACAGATCATTAACCTTTGCATTGGGAGGCTATTGTGCCTGTGCAGCAAAACACTGCACCAAAAAGCATCTCCTCATACAGATGCAATGAATCAATGCATCTATATGGGAACGTTAAAGGGACTCTCCAGTGCCAGGAAAACATTAGTTTTCCTGTCACTGCAGGACCCTGTAGTACCCCTCTCCCTCCCACCCCACATCCCAAGTTGCTGACCGGAGTCCAGCGCCGATGCCCCTCGGCACGCGGTCAGACTCTGCCTACCCTCCTCCCTCGCCGACGTCAGCCGGCGGGGGAGACCTAATGCGCATGTACGGCAATGGCCACACACGCACATTAGACCTCCCCATAGGGATTTCGGCAACACTGGAGGCCCTCACAGAACGCGAGGACATCCAGCGTCACATAACACACTTTTCGTGTTATAAGAACATGGAAGAACCTCTAGCGGCTGTCTGACAGACAGCCACTAGAGGAGGACTTAACCATGCAAGGTAATTATTGCAGTTTATAAAAACTGCAATAATTACACTTGCAGGGTTAAGGGTAGTGGGAGTTGGCACAAGTGGTCTGGGTGCCTGGAGTGTCCCTTCAAGCTCCTCCATGCAGGGCGTGGAGACGCTTAAAGGGACACTATAGTCACCCAGTCTACTTCAACTCAATGATTACATTTGGGGTTAAATCTTCCGGACAGCCATACTAGAGGTGCATCTGCGACGCTGGAGGCATATTATGCCTCCATCGCACAGAGAGTCCAAAGGAAAGCATTCCTATTGACACTTTGAATGCGCGCGTGGCACATTCGGCTCCGCTGATGTCGGACAGGGGAGCTGACGCCTGTGGGGGAGGAGAGGCGCTGGAATAAGGTAAGCTGCTGAAGGGGTTTTCAGCGACACAGGAGGGGGACACTGAGGGTGGGGGCACCCTCAGGGCACTATAGTGTCAGGAAAACCACTTTGTTTTCCTGACCCTATAGTGATCCTTTAACTGCACACAGTGTCTTTACTCTGAAAAGACAGTGTTTACCTTTTAAAAGCCTGTAGCGACAGGCTATAGACACCAGAACCACTACATTAAACTGTAGTGGTTCTGGAACTACAGTGTCCTTTTAATGTGAAGTAAAATAGTTATGTAATAATATTACTAAATAAAACTATTGGATTTCCTACTTACCACACCAGATAAGGACAAGATGATGGTCTCTGGCTGCAGTCTGTCTCCTGGTCAAATACAGGCTCTGGAGGCTGGGGAAGCAGGAACCAGCTACAATCCAGGAGGAGGCCACTGCAAGCAGCAGGCACTTGAAGACGGCACCTTCTTCCACTTTAAAATCCCCCTCTCTGTGCTCAAGGGTGGAAGGGGTCAGTCAGAGGTCACTTCCGGCCGCCGAGCACACAGAGCACTTAAACTCCGTCTCCAGCAGGTAAGCCAGACTCAGGCCGTCTCATGGGCGGTCGTGTCTCTCTGCGGCCACCCTCCATAGATCAGTGCTGTGCCGTCTGAGTCTTTCTGTAGGACGCAATCCCCAAGTCAGCCTTCATCACCCCGTTCGGCTTATACCAATTCCGGGTTATGCCATTCGGGATGAAGAACGCCCCTGCCACCTTCCAAAGCCTTCTAGACAGTCTCCAGGATTATGCATGTGCATACCTGGACGACATCGCTATCTATACCTGGGAGGCACACATAGGGTCAGTACTAACATGGCGGCATGGCGATAGGATTAGGGGGGCCTTGAAGCCGGACAAGTGTAACTTTGGTATGGTGGAGGTACAATATTTGGGCCACCGAGTCGGGTGTGGTAAGCAATGGCCAGAGCCCGCTAAGATTGAGGCCGTTGCTAACTGGCCCACCAAGACACAAGTCATAGCCTTCTTAGGGACAGCCGGTTACTACAGATGTTTTGTACCAGACTATAGTGCCCTGGCCAAAACCCTGACCGACTTGACCAAAAAGAAGTTACCCCGACAGGTCCTGTGGTCACCGGAGTGTGAGGTGTCTTTCCAAGCTCTGAAACAAGCTCTAATTAATGCCCCTGTGTTAGCTGTCCCCGATTCTAACAAAGGCTTTATCGTCCATACAGACGCTTCAATGTTTGCACTGGAAGCAGTTTTAAGCTAGGTCGGAGAGGACAGAGGGGAGAACCCAGTAGCCTATCTGAGCCGTAAACTTTTGCCTAGGGAGTTTAGCTACGTGGCCATCGAGAAGGAGTGCCTGGCCTTGGTCTGGGCCCTCAATAAGCTGACTACTTATCTGTATGGCCGTGCCTTCACCCTCATCACTGACCACAACCCCCTAGTCTGGCTCAACCCGGTTTCTGGAGATAATGCCCGTTTGTTGTGGTGGAGTCTTGCCCTACAGCCCTACGATTTCACCATACACTATCAGCCAGGCAAACAAAATGGTAATGCAGATGGGCTGTCACGCCAAACTGATTTGCTGTAACCTCTGGAAGTCACGCCAGCCCCTAATGGACCCAGAAAGGTCCAACCATATCTGCAGGAGCAGGGAGTAAAAGGGGGGCCATTGTGAAGGATTTCCCACAACCTGTTCGGTTGTTTCCACTCCCTGCTGTTTTATTCACTTGGATCATTTTGTTATTTTTTTGTTG